ACTCACTATAATAAACAAACTTATAGTTACTGAGGGGAAACAGGATAGGGAGGGATAAATTGGGAATTCAGAATTTGTAAGTACTAGCTACCATATATAAAATAGATAAACAACAGGTCCTGCTGTATAGCACAGGGAACTGTATTCAATACCTTGTAATGGCCTATAATGAAAAAAATATGAAAAGGAATATATATATATATATATATAACTGAATAACTATGCTGCACACCAGAAATTAACATAACATTGTAAATTGACTATACTTCAATTTTTTTAAAAAAGGAAAGAAAAAAGAAAGCAAAGTACAGCAACTCCCACACCCACATCCCACACCAAATTCACTGCCCGGTACACCTTGCTGCTCACCTGTTAACAGAGAGGCTGCAGTGACTGTAAGCTGCGGCGCTCAGTCTGGGCTCTGGGGAGCTCTGGGTCTCTGTGTTTCTCTCTGAAACTAACCAAGCAGCATGGTAGAGGGCACAGGCAGAGGCAAAGAGCATGGATCTCTTGAATTAAGCAGCCTGGGGTGTGGGTATCAGCATCACAAGTTACTAGCTGTGTGACGTTGACAAAGTTACTTGACCTTTCTGAGTCTGTTTCCTCATGTGAGAAATGGAAATGGAAATAAGTCACAGAGGGCCTGGGGAGTTTCTAGAGGGAAAGATAAAACCTGACAGCAAAGAGTACCTTGTCTTAGGGACAACAGACAGTAACATTAATTTTTTAAAGAATCTTAGATTCAGGTGAAAAGTAGAGAACAATAGAAGGCATGAAGATTATTCTAAAAAGCCCTTCTTTACCTAACACACCTGGAGCAACAAAAACAATCTTTCACAAATTGGCTTTCTTTTCACTCCACCTAGAAATCAATTGAAGGACAATTTTTCTTTCTTGTTGTTTGTTTAAATTTGTTTTAGCAACTTGGACAGTTAAAACTCAATTTAAAAAAAAAGGAGCTCAGGCAGTAGAGTACATGCTTAGCATGCACAAGTTCCTGGGTTCAATCCCCAGTACCTCCGCTAAAAACAAGTAAACCTAATTACCAGCTCCCCCAAGAAAAAAAAGCAAAACAATTTTTTTAAAAGAGTCTAAAAAACCCAAAGGGCGCTGGACCTACCTCTACAGGGATGCAGACACCCCAAGACCTGCGCGGCTGGGCTCTCGTGGCTCGCCTGATGCAGCCTGTTCCTGAGCAGGTAGCTCCTGTCCCGCTGCCCGGAAGAGCTTTCTTCCACAGCCCTCCGCTCCACCTGAAGGTCAAGTATGTTGCACATCGGTATCCCAAAGTCAAAGGGGGTTATTTACATAGATACATACAGCCTGGCTGTCAGTTTGAGTCAGTGTGGAAATGTCTGTCCTACCCAGTGGGAGCCCAGCAATGTGCACGGCAGCAACCAGAACCAGCTCTGTGCCCACTACCCACACGTCCTACAGGTGGTTCCCTCATCCCGCCCCCCCCATGCACACCTGTGCCTTTGCTCATGGGTCCCCTCCATGGGCTAGGGTCTCCCTGATGAGCTCCCCTGTGCCACCAAGACCCAGGGCTACATCCTCTCCACTTCTAACCCTCTCCACTCTGCTCTCAGGGCAGGTATAAATGTCCTCTCATCACCTTTCCTCATCACTTTACTCACATCTGCCTGTATTACACGATGTTATAGTGAGTTTGCTTGCTTGTCTGTCTCTCCCGCCTTCACCATGTGCTATATGCACCATTGTAGCTCACCTAGTTCAGTGCCCCAGTGAGTGTCGAATAAGTGATGGAAATCATTTTCTGATTTCCTGATGGCAAGGCTGCACAGTGTGGGGGACAACGACACACCAATGCATGGTAGACACTAGCATCTTTCAAATAAATAGACCCCCTTCTTTCCCATCAAATCCTCGGACTCAGTGAATAGGAGCAACATATTTACAAGCCAAAGAGAAAAAGGGTCCAAGAAGGAGGGTAGGATGGGAGAGGCATTTTCTGATTGACTGTGGGCAGCATCCCACCAGCGTCCTCTCCTCTCCATCCACACGACTCCTGTGTTAGTGTTGGTCTCAATTCCCCAACACGCTCTCTGGACAAGGGCCATGCTGCCCAGCTGGCACCTCACTTGCCTCACATGAGCCCCACCTCTGTCCTGGCCTCAAGGGGGACCAACACTTGTGAAAATCCTGCTCCAGATCTCCTTGTGGGATCAGGTGGAGGTGGTCTCCACCGGAGAGCACTTCCTTACTCGGCTTGTCCCCCGACCTTCCATCACTCCCACTCCTGGGAGCACTTCCCCAATAACTAACTTGCCCAAGAATGCCCATCGCTGGCTTTGCTTCAAGGAGACCCAATGTAAGTCAAATGCTTACTATGAGCCAGACTCATGTGAGCCACAGGGCAGCAAGCAGCCCAGGGCGACAGGCACAGCAAGGGGACCCTCTGCATGTACAAGATAGCAGAGGGGAGGGAGTGGCTAGGGACCACATAGGCATGGTCAAGGAAAGCTTCTAGTGCAAGGGCTAGGGTTGACTTTTGATAGGTGAATGAGTTCATGAGTTATAAATGTGATCGTTTTTACATAAAGAGGCTTTTTCAAAGATCCCCAGGGTCTTAGTCACGTTAGAAATCTAGGCTCACCCAAAGGTCTTCACCAGCACTGCCCAACAGGACTGTAATAACAGGAACGCTCTAGATCTGCCCTGTTTATGAACAACTATATGGCAACAAATTGGACAACCTAGAGAAATGGACAAGTTTCTAGAAACATATAGTCCACCAGAACTGAATCAAGAAGAAATAGATAATTTGAACAGACTGATTTCACTGATTTCACTGAAGTGAAAGACAACCAGTAATAAACAAACAAATAAACAACTCCTTGCAAACAAAAGTCCAGGACCAGATGGCATTACTGGGGAATCCCACTAAGCATACAAAGAAGAACTCATGCTGATCCTTCTCAAACTCTTCTGAAAGACTGAAGAGGAGGGAACACTCCCAAACCAGTTCTATGAAGCCACCATCAGCTTGATATCAAAACTAGACAAAGACAAAACCAAAGAAGAAAATTACAGGCCAATATCTTTGATGAACATAGATGCAAAAATTCTCAACAAAATAGCAAACCAAACCCAACACATAAAAAACATTCTAGATCTGCCCTGTCCGGTATGGTCCTCACCAGCGACAAGTGGCTACTGAACACTTGAAATGTGGTTGGTGTCGCTAAGAAATTGCGTGTTTTCTTTGACCTCCTTTCAAACTTGGCAAATTTGAATTTCAACAGCCACACGCGGCTGGTGGCTCCCGGGTTGGAAAGCGCAGATCTACACTGACCTGGGAGGTGGTGCCCAGAACCATGCCAACCAGCTGTCTGATGTGGAGATTGGCAGAGGCTGGGTAGACAGTCACTTCTTCCCAGTGAACCCGACAAGCTTCCAGGATGGATGGCAGGGACAGCCGCCTGCAGGGCTGGTCTTCGCACATGGTCAGCAGAATGGAGTGCAGGGGCTCACAGAGCTGCAGGGGCTGGAGAGCAGAGGGGCAGCCGCTGAGTCCACCGCCTTGGCAGGTGTGTGGTGGGGACGACTGGGAACAGATGTTCTCATTAACTAGACAGGTGGCCACTCCTTCCAGGGAGTTTCGGGAGGGGCACCAGAGACATTACTGAGGCCACAAAATGCTGAGCAATGATCTCTGCACCAGCTGTGTGTAGTCTGCTGCTTTCTCATCTGGAAAGTCCTTCAGTGCCTGGCAGTGACTCTGACCATGTGCTTGGAATGTCTACAAAAGACAGATGCTTGACGAAATGGATTTCCGCCTATGCCAAGCACCCAGAGCACATGGGAGAGCAGCTTTTAACTCACGAGCATCTGGGCAGCTTGTCATTTTCTCAAATGATTTAGGTGGGTCTCACTGGACATTTACCCTAGAATGGGAGCTCCAGGAGCACAAGGACTGTGGCTTTTTCGCTTCGGAATCTCCAGCGTTCAGCATAAGGTCAGTCAGTCATCACTGGTTGAACTTTATGTCACATGTACACATCAAGCAGAAGAAACATTAGGTGTTTTATTAAACACTTCCCTCCTGAGTTTAAATGGCCACCATTTACACGGGGAAGGTCTCAAGTTCAGACTCACAATCAGGCGTTTTCTCCCACTCACCCACACTGCAAGTCATTTTCCAGATGAAAGCTGCACCACCATTCCTTGCCCTGGAGCATCAGTTGTGAGTGCCTATCTTCACGTGTAACCAGGTTACTGAGTCCTGCACATCAGAGTGCCTCTTACGGCCCTGGGACTGCACACTTACTTGAGACAGAAGGTGGGAGACAGTCCCTGCCTTCAAGAGGTGCACCATGTGATAAGAAAGACAGTCACTTAAAGAGACAAGGACGGTACAGGCTGATAAGGGCTTTGGTCTCAGGAAGTACAAGACATGGCAATAACACAGAGGAAGGGGACCAACTCAGCCTGGGGAGGAAGAAGGGAGACGGGGAAAGAATTTGAACTGAATCTCAAAAAGCACACTGGGGTTGACCAGGAGAAAAGTGGAGGAGTGAGCCACAGACAGAGGGAGCAGTGTGGGCAAAGGCTGGCATGTGTCTGGAAGGACGGAGGCTGTGGGCAGGACCAGGGCCCAGGGCAAAAGGACAATGTAGTTCAAAATTGTTAAGAATTTCAAGACAGTGACAGCAGAGCATTAAATCAAGTGTGGGGCCCTTCCAAGTGCAGGGCCCTGTGCTATTATGCAGGCCACATGCCCACGAAGCCAGTCCTGATTATGGCTGAGTACCATAGAGGAACCAGGGCCACAGGTAGGAACCGATCCTGGACTCCAGGTATGCTCTGCTGAGAAGCGGAACGTAAGCCCACAGGGAGTGGGGAGCAGTGACAGATTCCACAGGAAAGGGACATGATTAGGTTTCTCTTAAGGAAGAGCACCGGAAGTGCCGGGATGTTGAATTGGAGAGGGCAAAAGTGAGCTGGAAGGAAGCAAGGATGGAAGGATGGAAGGAAGGAAAGAAGGAAGGAAGGAAGGAAAGGAAGGAAGGAAGGGAAGGAGGGAGGGAGGGAGGGGTGGAAGGAGTAAAGCAAGGAGGCAAACAGGCTGGGCAGAGTTCTCCAGGATGTGTTCTTGTTACACTAGTTTGTACTGAATTCTTATGATGTCAGATGAAAATTTACACACACACACACAAACACACGTATGCACTCTGCAGTCAAAAACTTTGTAAAGTGCTATGATAAAGTTTAAAAGTTTCTGTGATTTAATCCTTCTCAGTCACTCATAAACTGCTCTGAAAAATCTTCAAGAAGAAGATATTGTAGGGAAAATTTTCCCAAATTGATTGAGCACAGAAGCTTTTTTCATGGATGTATCTCACTTCGGGATGGGCTGCTTTATGGTCTTTTTTTCTTTCAATAAGTTGGTATCTTCAGTATCTATAAAATCCTCTAGCTTCCTACTTCTTCAAGGCTGGAGTGGCAAACAAGTCTTATCATGTTTGCCGATCCCAAATTGTGGCTGCCCAGCGTGCCACGTTGAGTAGGAGTCTGAGGTTGTTTCTGGATTCAGTGAGACCAGGTTTTTAATCAACTGTCAATGCCTTCCTAGAACCTAGGAGGATAGAGTGATGGCACATAGCTCAACAGATGTGGTCCCTGCCCTGGAGAGAGAAACAAACAAACAGACAACAACAACAACAACAACAACAACAACAAATGCTAAATAAATCCAAAGACATGACCTAGCAAGACTTTGATTATCTTCTTTTACAAACCTGATTTGGTGGAACATGAAACCCTGCTGACCAGTAGAGGGTCATTCCTAAAGAATAGACATGCATCTGCCCAAGAGAAAAAGCACATGATTAGATTTGTCACCTGTTATTCTGTGGTCCTGTAAACAACATATAATTAATTTCCACGTGTGGCAGACATTGTTGGCTGGCTAGCCCAACAAGCACCTGCAACTCCCTTGACCTTTGCTGCATCCTACTCTAGAAGCTGAAAGCCTCAGTGGCTGCGACATTCAATTTTTGTGAAAGACGTGAGGTAAGTCTGTTAGAGGGCTTCTGAGAAAGTTTGTTCTTTACTGTTAACAGGAGCACATGTGGCTGGTCCCATCTTTTTCAGCTTTCTTTCTGTCTTGAACACTGATGTGATATATGGAATCATGGCAGCCGTCTTGTGACCATGAGCCAACAAGCATAAGGACAAGAAGGACAACAGCTAAGGAGGGTAGAATGGAAATATACAGCCTGGATTCTTGATGATGTTTACTAAATTCCTGAACAATCTCTAGACTTCTTGTTAAGTAAATAATAACTCTATCTGTGGTTCCAGCTTCTGTATTTTAAGGTTTCTGTTTCTAGTAGCCAAAGCCATCTGTACATGACATACTGGTTCAGCCTGATTAAAAAGCAACATATGTTGTCAGAAAGCAACGTGGTGCATAATAGAAGAGTATTATCTGACTTCTTTGAGCTTCATCTTTAAAATGAGTAAAAAGTACCTGTAGATGGTAATAATAATTATTATTATTGTTTTGTTTTTATTGGACAGAAAGCCCTTATAACAGACCAAGCTTTGCTCCAAGTCTTTAGCTTATATTAACTCATTTAGTCTTCACCACAAATCCTGGGTATTTAAAATTGTCCCCATTTCACAGAGGAGGAGACTAAAGCAAAGACAAGTTAAGGAACTTGCCCAAATAAAAACTAAAGCCTAAACTTGAACCCAGGCCCCAGAGCCCTGTCTCTGTCACCTCTGAAGTCCTCCATAAATGTTGTTATTATTATTATTATTATTATTATTGTTATTATTATTATTATTATTAAGCTTCTATTTTAACTGAAAAGGCACATTTCCATTAAGATCTCTCTTTTCATGAAATGACTCCAGGAACTTTGAAAAGGAGATGTTGAATTCACAAAACATGGTATGTAGAAACACGTGGTTTACTTGAGCAATCGACTGAGTTTAATACAGACGGGTTGGGTTTTGGTTTTCACATCTTAGGTCAAGGGCATGTGTCCAGTGTCACATATGCCAATTAGTTCTCTTCTTTGTCTGAAATCGTGCTCCTTAACAAGCCAACCACTCCTCTGATAAATGTGACTAGTTCACCAGCTGCACCTTCATTTCCAAGAACAGATCCTGAGAAGGGCTACCTGACCATTGCCAGAAACCTCATCGACATCTGGGAACCTACCTGGATTCCAAAGACTCTACCTTAAACTGCCCTAGGGCAAGGCCTAAGGTCACAATGACAATAGGTTTCATCCCAAATCTCAAGTCCAACCCACTGGTAGTTGCTGCCTGGAGAAGGGTGGTGAGAAGGCAACTACTGACTCAGTAGGAAGGAACATCATGATCGATTAATAATGTCTGCCATGAGCATAGGATGGGCTGATGGTGGCATGAGTGACTTGGATTTAGAGACCTGCCCAGACCTTCCACCTGCACCTGGGACTAACACTCCAAGCAGTGGGGCAAACATCTCGGTGTGCTGGTTAGAGCTGAATGTTGGCCTGAGGAGAGGAGTCAAGGTATATCCTCCTAATCAGGGCTGCGGGAGGATTCTGAGTGCAGCCTCTCCTGAGACCACTGTCCTGATTGCCCACTCCACCACCCCCAGGACACAAGCCAAACTGGATGAAGAGAGGAGCCTGGGATGAATGGAGGAGAACAGCAACTAACAGAACTGAGTGGCAGGGATGCTATAAGACAGAATGGTCAGGTGACTCTGCTTCCTGGCCTAACAAATAGGGCTCAAGGTCATTGGCTTCTGCTCTTCAAGCCACACTCCCATATGCCACGCCTAGAGAATTAAGCCACCAATAAAAATTGCTGTTTGGTTCATTCAGGACTCAGTCCCTGACTGCACTGACTCTCTCTCAGCTCAAACTCACTCTCATCTTCCTGGCGCAGAATCTCAGCAACACAACACATCTCCCTGGTTCTTAACTCAGGCTCCTCCTTTAGCCTTGGAACTCTTGAGAGCCCTCACTCCTCTCCATGGAGGACCACAGCAGAGGAAGGAGGATGTTCCCCAGCTCAGCTCAGCTCAGCTCCAGGATGCTCTGAGCAAAGGAGTGAATAGACCTTCACAGGACACTCAGTGCAGGCCAAGCTGCAGTCAGGAAGGCGATGTCTATTCCTCACCAATGCAAGTTGAGAGGGACAGGGAAAGACCCCCAAAAGCACTCAGGATCTGTCTTAGTCTGGGTCCCAGAGGAAGCAGAATCTGAAGCAAGGATTAAGTGCTGATACTTCATTTAGGAGCTGCAAGTCCAGGGCAATGAGGGTGAGGAGAAATGGGACAGGGAGGCAAGGATGGGGGTGATGTGTGGGGTCCTCATGCTGGTAGGTCACTTCCTCGTACCAAGACACAGAGCACAGCAGGAAGCAGAGCAGACATGGCCTCTGCACTCAGAACTTCTCTAGAAAGCCTGCAAGTCTTGCCTATCCTGAAGCAGTTCATGAAGAAAGAAGAAGGAAGGAATGAACAAATGAACGAAAAAGGAAAGAGAAAGAAAGAAAGAAAGAAAGAAAGAAAGAAAGAAAGAAAGAAAGAAAGAAAGAAAGAAAGA